AAGCCCCTCACCATGACCAAGGCCACATACTGTAAACCTCACATGCAGAGCAAACCACTGCAGACAGGTGAGGATCTTTTTTTCTGTGACTATACAATCTCTGTAATGTATAATCTCTCTCTGGTAAAGATGGAGAAGCTTTAATACCTGCTTCTCTTTAGATGAGGCAGATCTGGAGAGCTCAGGAAAGGAGTACATTCCTATTCCGATCCCTGTTCCTGTTTACGTCCCAGTACCCATGAACCTCTATTCTCAGGCCACGCCCACTTCTTTTGCAATACCTGTACCGGTAAGAAAGTTCTCACAGAATGTCAGTCATTGAAATGGTACTAGTATAGTTTGTATTACAATGTTAGTTTTATTTTTATGTTGTCTATTTATTTTACTCATTTACACCTTTCTTTTTTCAGGTGCCTGTGCCAGTGTTTCTACCAACCACGCTGCAGAACGCTGAGCAGATTGTGAAGACCATCAGAGAGCTCAAAGCCAAAGTTCCTTCTGATCCTCTAGAAGCCGATCTAATAGCGATGGCAGAAGTGATTGCACAAGAAGACGAGAAACCTAAATGCTCAAGTAAGAATCTCTTAAGGCCTAGACAGCTTTGGCAGATGAAAACAAGACTCTGATGTTGTATAATAATAATAAGAGGAGTATTGCTCCGATCAGGATTTTTGCAGTCGATACCAAGTACCGAATCCTTGTCATTGTGATCAGGCGACAACAAATATTGATTCTGATGCTTCAAGCTGTATGAAACTAAGCCATTGCAGAAGCACATTTTCCCTGTATGTATGAGATCTCGCTTTACCTAAGAATAAATTAAGGGTCTTGCATACATGTAATGGTCAGAAGCAGCTTCACAAAAAAAGAAGATTAAACAGATAGAGAAAAGTAGTAAGAAAAATGACTGACAATGCAATTTGGAAACATTGCTCATGTGTTGTAGCGATGTGGATGTAGAACCTGGGTTGTAAACTTGTAAAACAAATACTTCAAATAGTTCATGCGATGGGCCAGATCAGCGATTTCTGATCGAATCATGAAATGTGATTATCGGCCAAAACTGATCCCTGGCCAATCGATCGGAGTATCCCTAAAGCCTGGTTTATTCATCTGCGTCAAGTGACCGGCGCAACAATCGGCGCATGCAACGTGCGTAGCTCTGCATTTATACTTCTGCGTGCTGTCTCTGTTGGTATGCATTACACTTCCGAAACGCTAGTGGGCAGTGAGGTGTTAATGTTCCTCTGTGTCGAGTTTCTTCGCTGCTGTGTTGCTTTTCCTGAACACTTCCTGGATGTACAAGTGGCTCAAACTCGCTCATTTTGAGTCAGGAACCGGCGGACATGCAACAACTTTAACTATGAGGTAAACACAAAACAAAACTTTCCATCCGGAGCTCCTTCACGGGACTCCTCAATTGTAAACGATCGCTCCATTGGGCTCGCGCCATTCGCGCGGCTCCCGGTCCCGCCCAGACTCGTCAGAGCTACCAAGCTGACCAATCACAGAGCTTGCGCTACGCATCGTTGCGACATGTAGTTGCATTTTTTGAGAGGTACACATCAGTGATGCCGACGGCCACGGCGAAGGGCTATGCGTCAACGCCGTAGCATACACGTGCGTTTGACGCAGAAGTATAAATCAGCCTTAAATAATAGTAATTATTGTTGTTAATAGCTGTAATGGTAATAATAATTATTGTTATTATTTTTTTGATCCATTATTAAAAATTTAAACCTACATTAGTATATCTTAACAAAATTGTACATTGTATTTCCAGTTGTCAATCATTGCACGCTTGACTAACCTGTATGCAAACTGTAATTAATCTTGTGGCTTTCGAGCTTTGAAATTTTAGTTATGCTTTATTTAAAACAAGTCCCAAATGCTTTACAATGCAAACTGCTTATTAATCTGTCAAGCATCTGACAGGACACTGAGAGTACACTGTTAACCTGTATTTCTAGGAATTGTTGAAGCGCTGACTGGGAAAGCTTTTGCTTGTTTATAGCATTTCAGAATGTGCAAGTTAAACTTAAACTCCTTTTTTTCCCCATCGAAATGTATTACTCGCTCCTGTAAACATGACTAGTGGATGTTTTCTGTGCACAACAAGCAGACACAATAATTGCATGATCAAATTAGTTGTTAATTTGCATAATTGGCTTTGATTAGTTTTTGCATTTGTGCTAATTTCACCCTTACATTCTATCGTAGCTGCTTTGTATTTAGATGTATTTATTGTCAAGATGTCATCACGGCCCTAATGTTTAATGTGCCTCTTTAAATCTGTGGTCACACTTTACAATAAGGTTCATTAGTTAATGTTAATTAATGCATTTACTAAGATGAACAAACAATAAACAATACATCTACTACTGTATTTGTTTATGTTAGTTAACGAAAATACAGTTGTTCATTGTTAGTTTATGTTAACTCACGGTGCATTAACTAATGTTACCAAGCATGGACTTGAATGTTAATAATGCATTAGTAAATGCTCGATTATGATTAATAAATGCAGTACATGTGTTCATGATTAGTTCATGTTAGTAAATGCATTAACTAATGAACCTTATTGTAAAGTGTTACCAAATCTGTTAATTTTGACATCCTAAATCCCTTCTCTTTTTGAATTTGTACAGACATCAAATGTGAAAAGGGCAGCAGTGAAGAGAAGATGGAAATTGTAAAACAGGAAAACGGTAGCGGGAGCTCAGAAGAGGAGGAGGAAGACAAGTATGAACCAGATTTGGACCTGGAGAAGGACCTACCCCTTGGTAAAGTAACTAGCAATTGAGCATGGAGGTTCTTTCTAAAGTAAAATTGTTTTAGGGCAATTGTTCCTGATCTCTGACATGAGATTATACATTTAACGAAAAACACTCTTACTAATTCACAGTTATCAGATGAAATAATTATACTTTGCTCTTGTTTATTCCAGCATCAGAGCCCGTTTTAGTTGAGCGTCTGGATACAGAAACACTCTTCTCATTGCCTCCAGTCCTGGCTGAGGAAAAAGAAAAGACACCTCGAACCAGAACAAGGAGAAGGGTACTAAAACAATCAACTCTAAAAACACAGTGCTTAGAACTGTCCAGTGATTAGAAAACCATTTGCTGTTCACATGCTGATTTGTTGTGATTGCCGAGGTTCTATATGAGGCTTAGAGAGTCGAAGAAAATGATTGTAAACCATCACTGCGTATGTGCTAATTGTTCTGCTATTCTTTAACTTTAGGGCCAGAAGAGGCGGGCAGTAGAGGAAGAGTCTTCATCCTCGTTGTCTTCTTCTCCAGCAGCAGAGTCCTCAGCAGTTGACAGCTCTTTCCCCTTAAGCTCCAGATATGGCTTAAACGCATGGAGAAGATGGGCCACAACTGAAGACTCACCGTCCAAAGGAAAGGAGAGCCAGAAACAAGGTAATAATCATTAAAGGTTTAATAAGATTTTATTGAGCAGCTTAATCGATGGGAAGTTTTGTTGGATTTAAATGTGCTCAATGATTATAACTTCATTGCTGTTCACATTCTGAAACAGTTTTGTTGATCACTTTGAGTTATGAGGGCACTTTTTCCCTATTCATCTCTATTCATTTCCTTATTCTGTGTTTTTTATTGAATTGTACTATTGTAAAACCTGAGTTATTGTGTAAATGATCGTTTTTATAAAATCAACAGGACGTTCATGTCTTTTAACGCAGTGCTAATGTTTTTCCTCTCACTTCAGCAGTTAGTTTAAAAAGCAGTCTCCTGTCCCTGAGCCAAGAAGAGTTGAATCAGTCTTTATCCCGGTTTGTCAAAGAAGTACGTCGTCCCAATGGTGAACACTACAGTCCAGACAGCCTCCTTTACCTCTGTCTGGGTATCCAGAAGGTGAGTTGTCAACATGATTTTTGCCCACCAAAGCTGTAATTGGAAATCTTGAGAATTATAAAACCTTGAATGTTTGCTATTACATCTCCTTGTGTGCTTTTATAAATTAAGAAATCATTGAAGCTTTCCCTTCAAATTATTAGTTATTGATTATTGGTTTTAATGTCATGAAGTCTTAAATTTGTCTGCAGAAATCCAATGTTTCCTAATGACCAATATGGGATGCTACACATGCGCACGCACGCACACACACACACACACACTCACGCACATACAGTCTGTCCAAAAAAGTCAACATACTGTCTGTTCACCACATGGAATTAGCTAAGCAAATGGGTAAAGATAATTACTGGACGGAGCTAGTAAAAAGTGATTTCAGATTGATGCAGAGCTTCTAATTTCTAATAGAAACCATTCAGAAAATGAATCCTGTTGTTATGGAAAATATATTAATCTTTTTCAGAAAGGTTAAATTGTTGGCATTGTTCATCTGAGGAGATTGCTAAAACTACTAAAATTAAATAAAGAGCTGTCCAGTATTAAAACTGAAAGGTTAGTATCGAACCATCATCTTTGTAACAAAAAGGCTTTGTTGCCTTAAGAAGTCAGCAATCACTTAAACATCTGGTGAAATCAAACTGTGAAGAACAACTGTAGGGCTCACAGCATTGTTTAATAGTAAAAGTAAAAGCTTTTCCACATGCACAATGGGAAGGGAACTCAAGGGATTGGAACAAAAAGGCTGTGTTGCCTTAAGAAAAACATTTATCGGTTACGCTAATAGGGGGAAAGGCTTCAGTTTGCTAGGACAAATAAAGATTGGACTCTGAAGCAATGGGAAAAAGATCATGCGGTCTGATGAATCCAGATTTGCCCTGATACAGAGTAACGATGAGTCCATCAGAATAAGAAGAGAGGCCGATCAAGTGATGCACTAATCAGTCCTAGTTCTTGCCATATAAGCCTGTAGGAGCAGTGCTGGGCATGCTACACCTGGTCAGGTCTAGCATTAGCTTTGTTCTGCGCTTGAAGAATGAAGTCAGCTGACTACCTGAATATATAACAGTTATATACAGGTTAAACAAAAAATTTATTCATATATTTTTTTTCTCCCCTGATAGTAAAGGCTTAATCCACAATGATTCATTTTGCTCAAATTGTGAAAGATTGTTTCAGGGAGCAAGAGACATAATTTTTACACATGAACTGGCCTTCAAAGTGTCCAGACCTTAACCCTGTTGAGTATCTGTAGATGTGCTGGAGAAGACTGTACAGTAGTGTGACTCTCCCATCATCAATACAAGACCTGGGTAAAAAAATGCAACTCTGGATGATAATAAAGGTTGTTAGATTGTAGAATCATATTGAAAAGATTCCATGCTTATTATGTGCCATAATCAGAGCTAAAGATGATCCAACAAAATATTGCAGACTGACTTTTGGACAGGCAGTTTATGCATCCCAACATTAAAATAATCTTGGCGGAATCCTTATTAAAATTACAAGTTTTAACTTCTTGTTTTTCTTTTTTCCCCACTGTTTAAAAATTATATGCTGCCAAACTAAACAAAATCAAGTAAACTAGATCTAGTTTTAAGCACTCCAGATCTAAGCAGTGTCCATTGATTATATCATTTGCTGTTCACATCCTGAAACAAGATGTTGATGCTTTTGCTATGAGGACACATAATACTGCTTATTGAAAACTGACCCACTCTCACCTTTATTAAATCCACATGTTTTGCAATGCATTAGTGTATTCATATATATTTTTTGCACATTTGTAGCATTTGCAGGACAAAGGAAGGACAGATGACCTCTTTAATGACTCACAGTATGAAATGTTTGGGGAGGAACTGAACAAGCTCCTCAAAGACTGGCAACCCAGTGTTCTTCCGGATGGTAAATACACTTATAAGTGTGAAAATGTGCAAAGATCACTGTACTGTATTTTCCAGAATATAAATCACATCTTGTATAATCCAACAAGCTTAAATATTCACCTTTTTGATCACATTTTGATAATCTTTCTTGTTTTAAAATGTCCAGTGATTATAACCATTGCTGTTCACATTCTGAAAAAGATTGTTGACTCAATCCAACTATGAGGACATTTCAAACTAATTAGTGACCTGCATATGTAGTATGGATACTTCAAATTGATTCAATTGTTAAATGTAATTAAGGGTTTGAAATACCTTAACATGGTGTGCTTGACCTATTAAAAACAGTGTTGCTCCAGTGTTTAAGTGTGAGTATTTTTCCTTTGAGGTTCTCGGTGGAGTCGTGTTGAAGAGCAATATCTGTGGAGCAGCGGACAGCTTGGAGAACAGGCGCCTTCTGTCCTGCTGAGATCTGTATTCTATCTCAACACCAAATACTTTGGTCTTCGCACCCCAGAACAGCACTTACGCCTCTCATTTGCAAACGTCTATGGCCCAAGCAGCTCGAAACCGCACAGCCATGAGACCACCGTCTGTATACGCATCCCCTCCATCTCACAGGAGCAGCATGGTGTGTTTTTCAATTGTAGTTTCGCTTTACTTGTGCATTTTAAATGTCCCAAACTTGTTAGATATTTAAATGTTCAATGTGTTTTACCAGTGTTGCTGTTTGCTGAAATGTCTTGTACGTGTTTTTCACAGAGCAATCAGGAAGTAAGAGAAGACGTAAAGATTACTGTGACTCAAATTTTGATTCAGACAGCGGTTCAGGGGGATCCGCACACTGTCCTGTTAAGAAGCATGAGTGCCGACTGTATGAGCTTTACCTTTCGAAGTGGTGAGTGACGTAAATCTTCCTTATTTGTGATGCATTTGAAGAACTAAGGGCTTTTTCAGAACTGTAAATAGTATTTAATTTAATTTTCTGTAAATTTGTATTTTTCTTTTAGTAACCCTTTACGTTCGGTTCTCATTTTTAAGGGAAACATTTTAAAGTGCACCAAAATGTGGTTCTACAAGTACAACTGCCCCTTATTGCCAGAGTGCACCTGTGTACATTCCTCTACTTCATTTATACTTCATTCTGAGATGTGACACGAAAGCACATTAGTATGTATCTGTCATTCCCACGTTAACTGATAAATGATGTGTATTTAATTATACTCCGCTGTAATAAAGTTAATGTGGGAATCATAATGAGAGCAATTACACAACATATTAAGATGAAGAGGTGCTTCTATTTTATATTAAAAAAGAGCTTTTATTTTAACTGTGATAGTTTCTTGCTGATTTGAATGCAGCTAGTTCAAATTATTTTAAACTGAGTGGTGTCCAGTGATTATAACAATTGCTGTTCACATCCTGAAACATGGTGTTGACACTTGTAATATGAGGACACAGCAGACCTTTGGTGCAGAGGTAGTCAAGCAGTGGTGCCTGTTCAGTTCTTTTCTTAGTGAGGTAATATGATAAATGGGTAGAGTGTCTTAAGTGAACTGGAAAATTAAAATTTGATCTGTAGTAGTCTTACAGGGGTGTAATGGTGCATGTATTTATAAAATTTATGTATTTTAGCCGGCAACTAGCTCTCTGCAACTCAAAATGGTCGCCCACTGAAGCTAAGCAGGGCTGAGCCTGGTCAGCAGTACCTGGATGGGAGACCACATGGGAAAGCTAGGTTGCTGCCAGAAGAGGTGTTAGTGAGACCAGTAGGAGGCAGTGTGGGTCCAAATTCCCCAGTAAATTGATGGGGACTCTACACTGCTCAGTGAGTGCTGTCTTTCAGATGAGATGTAAAATTGTGGTCATTGAAAATCCCAGGATGTCCTTCCAAAAAGAGTAGGGGTTTAACCCACTGGCGTCCTAAACATCCCCATATCATAATTCGCTTCATCACTCTGTCTCTCCACGAATCAGCTGGTGTGCAGTCTGGCGCAAGTCTTGTCGTCAAGTCATCCAGGTGGATGCTGCACACTGGTGGTGGATGAGGAGATTCCCCCAAAAAGTGTGTAAAGCAATTTGAGTGTCCAGAAAAGCGTTATATAAATGCAAGAAATTATTGTTTATTATTATTAGAGAAAATCTTTGTACAAAACTAAATGTTAAGCTTTAACCCCAAGGCCATTTAACTAATATTATGCAAAATTTGTTACCAGGTCTTCATTCTGTTGGAAAGACTTTAAAATATATATTTTTTATACTAGATGGTGCGCTTTTCTATTATTATTATTATTTATTCCTGTTGTCTGCCTATGCATATTTTATGCCTATTGTGGAATTGAATGGATAAATCATGCAGTAATAATTGTGTGGGCTTGTTAGAATGGAGATTGTCAAACTGTTGTTGGTATTTGTGTAATAGTTTGAATGACAGAAATTAAATTATATTAGAAATACCCTTGACCACATGTAACTTTCACACCAGGGGTGGGGTCATAGGACCTTGTAAAAACTATGAACATTTTTTTATTATTTGTTTTTTGTACAAAGTTTGAAAAGTGAGCTTGTATTTTTTTATTTTTTAACGTAGAAGTTCAGAAGCCACTAAACACCTTATTGTTTTCATTAAAACGTTTTAAAATCTGGTAGAGCAGGGGTTCTAAAAATTGGTCCTGGAGGGCTGGTGTACTGCAGATTTTAGCTCCAACTTGCCTCAACACACCTCAACACAACAAGGATGTTTCTAGAAAGCCTTGTAAGAGCTTGATTAGCTTGCCCAAGTTTGTCTGTAACTAAACTTTGCTGGACACCGGCCCACCAGGACCGAGATTGAGAACCCCCCTGTCTTAGATTTACAGTCTAACACAGGTGTTATCTCAGCCAAATCTAAAAAATATATGATGCTCGTGTCATTTCATAGCGTGTAGGACATTTCATCATAACAGGGGAACATCTTGACTATAGTCACAGGTGATGACAGTGAGCACAGTGCTGCGTATGAAGCTACCATTTTGTAAACAAATCAGCATTTTTTAGCAAGGGGTTGCCTTTGAAAATCACTGAGTGTTTGATTATTATTAATATGATTAGAACTGCTGCTGGTGAAAAGATTCGACATCAAAGATGGACATTTTGGACATATCTTCATAGTCTTTTTGGTTTTAGCCAGATTTGCTGAACTTTAATAGTTTTTCTGAACTATTTGTCTGACGCTTCTCTCTTACTCTCTCCTCAGCCCAGAGTCTGTGAGACAGAGGACAGATTTTTTTTACATGAAGCCAGAGGTGTCTGCGTCGTCGGATAGTCCGCTGTGGTTCAGCTCGACGCCTCTGGAGAAGAGTGTGCTGAGCAGGCTCCTGACTCGAGCGCTGCTGGTCAGAGAGGTCTATAAAGACAACCAGCCTGAAGAGGACGCAGCCTAGAGGCCGATGCACTGAAGACTTCTAACTATGCTATCATGACACCCTGTGCATCACCAAACCAGCTGCTTTCCACACCACACCCTGTCACGCTCCCTTTAAACACACTGATCCCAGTACAGTTATGACATGAGTCCAGTCAGGATGGACATCGATGGGATTATGCTGATTCTGGTCAGTCTTCCCAAAGACCTTGATTCAGACGAGTAGATTTTTTTTCCCCCACCATGAACGTGACTTACAGTATGCTGCTTTCTTCTTTATTTTCCCCCCCTCTCTTCCCTATTTGTTGGAAACTTTTGTTGATGTAGCATTTCTTCTTGTCAGAGTCTAGTCTGTTAGCAGACGAAACACACAGGAACTTTAGGCTGTAATGGAGGTGATGAGGATGTATTCGTTTCTTCCTGCCCAACAAAGCCTTCTAAAGATAAAATTTTATTTATTACTGCTGATCGACGTGTTAAAGACGAGAGTCTGAGATTTTGAGATGACAGGGCAGGGTGTGTGTTGGACACTGCCATGTGTGCAATTTCTCTGGCCTTCCATAAGAGCATTAAAACCTGCTGCAGCCCCGGACCTCTTATTTGTGCGAGCGGTGTGTCTGTAAATGTGAGTGCATCTTTTTTCCCTCTCCTTTCTTGTTGTTTTGGAGTGAATTGGACAGGAGGTGGTCCTGCGCAGTCAATACATTATTGGCATTGAACCTTTAAGTGTGAAACTATTCCTCTGAACAATCAAGTATATGAAATTTGACTCTGAACTTCATTTGCAGCGTTATGCTGATTGCAGATAAGCGGAGATGCATTGTCAATGTTTAAACATTGTCATAGGATTTGCTCTGTAGCCTTCCTGGAGCTGAGAGTCATTTGAAGGATGTGCGTGAGCACAACGATCATTAAATGTTACGTTTAAAACACTTAGCTTATGCAAGAGTGAAAGTGATTTATTTATAAAGTGAAAGTCAGCCGGGTTTTTCTTGTCATGGTTTTTATGGTTATTTTCCTTGACCCTTTTCTACCAATAAATTACAATCTTATTTGTTGTCTCATAATGGCTCGCGAGTAAAGACCCCCATTAAAGATTTTATTTTCTGTTTGAGGGAAACCATGAAATGTGAATTTTCAGTTTGTCGTTTTGTTTACAGCTCTTGTCTTCCATCTCTTGGATTGGAAGGATAAGTGAGTAGCTTTCTGTAACGGAGTAAAGATGTTTTGTGCTTGTTAAACAAAGCTCATTATTAGGCAAACGAGGTGTTGAAAATATTAAACTTTGGGCACTTAAATCCTTCTGCACTGATTTTACGTTGAACATGAGTGATCACTCGCTACTAAGAGGTAAAGGAGAGGGATAAAAACATTCCAATGTGGACATGCTTATTCTTTATCACTTTTTATCATAATGGGGAATTAATTGGTTATTGGAAAGAAAATAAAGTAGTACCAGAACTTTAACTGATAAACGTTTAAAGACAGGCCTGCTGTGAGCTCAGATATTGTGAAAGCTTTTGTTTACCCATCTGTTTGCATTGTCAACAAAACTACATTACCCATGATGCTGTGCATAAATTTCCTTGAGTAAGATGGTTGCAGAAGCGCTGTGTGTGAATAATGTAATCAAGCCACTTTCTCTACACTCAACATGCTTACGTTTTTTATATGTATGCATAGTTTACAATAAAGTGAAATATATTGGTTCCACAGATACAGCCAACAACTTTAAATGGATACTTTTATATTCCTTCATTGTTTTTCATTTTAATGTTATTTGTAGTGCATCATGGGATTGTAGTTTTGCCTTTTGTCTTGCATTTTTATATACTTTTTGCTTCAAATCAAAGATTGTAATGTAACGTTATGATTTAACAAGACTTGAGGAAAAAATAGACCAATGAATGAAAAAAACTGTTAAGGGAAAAAGTGGATCGGCACTAATTGTCCTGCTCATTTAAAGCACACTGTAGTTTTGTCTTCTGCTACTTGAAACGTTCAAGCTTTTAAGATTCTAGATTCTGATTGGCTGTCACATTTTTCTTTGGTTGAAAAAGAAATGAAAAGATTTGAAAGTGATTCCAATAATATCTGTCCACTTTGTTATAACTAGTGTGCACTTCTGTTTTCAGGAAACTATTTTAACTTAATGTTTAATGTAAAATTTATATCTATTTATTCAGTTTTTTGTTAGTCCCAACAATGATTAACACCGAAACCAGATTAAAAACAGACATTTTGCAGTTTAGCTTTGCAGAAAGTTACTTTAATGAAAAACAAATGGTCAAGTGCATCCAAAATTTTTGACTAGTAATGTACACTCACTGGCCACTTTATTAGGTACACCTGTCTGTCTGCTCATCAGCCAATCACATGGCAGCAACTCAGTGCGTTTAGGCATGTAGACATGGTCTGGATGATCTGCTGCAGTTCAAACAGTGCATCAGAATGGGGAAGAAAGGGGATTTCAGTGAGTGATCGTGGCATGGTGCCACATGGGCTGGTTTAAGTATTTCAGAAAATGCTGGTCAACTAGGATTTTCACACACAACCATCTCTAGGGTTTTTAGAGAATGGTCTGACAAAGAGAAAATATCCAGTGAGCAACAGTTCTGTGGGAACAAATGCCTTGTTGGTGCCAGAGGTCAGAGAATGGCCAGACTAGTCGAGCTGATAGAAAGGCAACAGTAACTCTAATAACCACTCGTTACAACCGAGGTATGCAGTAGAGCAACTCTGAACGCACAACACGTCCAACCTTGAGGCAAATAGGCTGCAGCAGCAGAAGCAAAGAACAGTAAACAGGCTACAATTTGCACAGGCTCACCAAAATTGGACAATAGAAGATTGGCAAAATGTGGCCTGGTCTGATGAGTCTCGATTTCTGCTGCAACATTCAGATGGTCGGATCAGAATTTGGCATCAACAACATGAAAGCATAGAACCATCCTGCCTTGTATCAATGGTTCAGGCTGGTGGTGGTGTAATGGTGTGGGCAAAGTTTTCTTGGCACACTTTGGGCCTATTAGTACCAACTGAGCATGGTGTCAATGCCACAGCCTACCCGAGTATTGTTGCTGACCATGTCCATCCCTTTATGACCACAGTGCACCCATCTTCTGATGGCTACTTCCAGCAGGATAACACACTTTGTCATAAAGCGTGAATTATCTCTGACTGGTTTTTGAACATGACAATGAGTTCACTGAACTCAAATGGCCTCCACAGTCACCAGATCTCCAATAGAGCACCTTTGGGATGTGTTGGAGATTTGCATAATGGATGTGCAGCCGACAAATCAGCAGCAACTGTGTGATGCCATCATGTCAATATGGACCAAAACAATATGGACCAAAATCTCTGAAGAACATTTCCAGTACCTTGTTGAATCTATGCTACGAAGGATTAAGGCAGTTCTGAAGGCAAAAGTGGGTCCCTGTACTAGCAAGGTGTACCTAATAAAGTGGCCGTTGGGTTCATTCCGCTGTGGGGACCCCGGATTAATAAAGGGACTAAGCCGACAAGAAAATGAATGAATGAATGGTATCCATGAGAAGAGTCATGTTCAAGTCGCTTCTAATACGGATTTGTTGCTTCAGTAACAATAGTAGGCCTCTTTATTGGAGTTAACATGCCAAAATGTGTTTTAATATCATATTGTCCAAGAGTTAAGCCCAGCCGGCTGTTGTGATTTAAGTTTGACTATATTTATCTGTGTCGTACAGCATGCTCTCTTTCTGCCAGATGAGTGACATGAGCTCACTTGGCACCAATAGTTGGTATCATCTCCTCCCAAACAAACAGATGGATCACAGACCAAGCCCCTCGATGGACTTTATTCCGGCAGGTGTCTCTTGTCAGCAGTTGCTGCACCAGAATGCAGCGAAGCACAAGGTCATTGCAGACGATGGTCATGTGACAGGAAATGGTCAACAAGAGGATACACATTGTCCTGTTTTCATTAAGGTTGCCTGAGTTGTGATTGACAGGCAGTTGTTATCATGAGTGTTAATATAGGCAGTACAGCACTCCCTCTTCAGTATTAATAAGAGTTATGCTGCATGCTGGTCTTTTTATAGGGCAGTGGAGCTACTGAGGTAAGTGGGAGAAGGAGATATGTAGGAGGGTGATATTTAATGACCGTTTAAGACATTACACAAAGGGAAATATTTAGTCAGAATTCTTTAAATTGACAAAAAATATCTCTTAGCAGCAAATATTTTCTAAACATTAGTTGTCACGGGACTTTTAATTAGATATAGTCATTGACATTTTAATAAATGAAGTCTTAAAGGCACAGTTGACCCCACACTTAAAATATTGTCGTCATTGCGTCACCTTTCATTTGTCACAAACCTGTTTTGAGTTTCTGTTCAACACAAAAGAAGATATTTTGAAGAAAGCTGGAATCTAGAAACTATTTACTTCTATAGTACTTGTTTTTCCTCCTAAGTTAATTACTGGTTTCTAACATTCATCATATTTTAGTGTTCATTGGAAAATAGAAACTTGTTTGGGTGAACTATCCCTTTAAACTACACTTTGTTATTCAATGTACCATACTGTTTGTTGATGAGAATGATTCATGATTTTACTCTGGTAAAATTTTAATCTAGTAAAATAGTAAGGTAAAAATAAAATCTACATACTTAAATTAGGAGGGCCCTGTGCAAAGACCAGAATACTGAATATTTGATTATGATATCCGGAGGCCAGGACTAAATACAACATTGGCCACAAAAAAAAAAATTGCTAAATTAAGTTAAAGGGAAAAAAATGTTTTTGTTTTTTCTTGTCAGACGAGTTTATCTTGCTGTCATCCCCACACACCTGCATCTCACAAATCTGACCTTTTTAGAACTTTTTGACCTTTTCAAATCTGACCATGATTGTGGCTTTGTATCTAACATCTTTGAAAGTTTGCAGTTCTGAGAAAAAAATAGAATTGCAAGAAGGCCTAGGCTAACCTTTTTGTGAGTAAAAATTCTCTGGAAATTTGGAATTATGAACTATAAACATGGAAATGTGAGAACATTAAGCATTGTTGTGATATTTACACTCAGACCTGCGAGAAATCAAGGCAATTTTTTTAATCAAACAATGTATGATACTAGACTTTAAAGAAGTCAGAATTGTGAGATTAAAACAGGCAAATTTAATCAAACATGTTTATTCATTCAATTACATACGCTTTCCTTGGAAATGATCAACGACACACCGCCGAGAGATGCAATCTTAAAGACTGCATCCAGATACTATTGCTTTAAATGGCCACTTGTAGGCTACCTGTACCAGTAGTCTAGACACTCGAATGATTAACAGGTTAAATTTACATTTTACAACTTACCCCAGATAGCAAAATACACTCGGGCCAGTGCCGGCAAGATTGTCGCCTGCCGGAGACTAACCCCTCGGCCCAACTTCGGCTGCCGGACTCGGGCCGGATGCCTGTGGACTCACTGCCCGATTCCGGCCCGAATCAAGCGGGCCAGATGCGGCGGCCGTAAGCGAGCCGACGCTGCGCATCCGCGCCGGAATCGGCGCGAGGGTAATGTGCGCTGCGGCCCGGAGCTGGCGCGACTCCGTATTTAAACACCTTATAAAACCTTTTGGTATTACATTGGTACTTGTTATATGGTATTACAACCATTTGAATTTATATAACAGCAAACACAGGCTGTAATGTAAACACAAAGTGTAAGCACTGCGTTTAACCTTTGAATAAAGTGCAAACTGCATACATGTTCTGTAACGAAAATAATCAGACAAATGACAAAATAAATAAATGTTAAACGTTTATTGATTGCATGAAAAAAATAGTACTAAAATTTTATAAATAATTTTGTAGTGCACAAGAATATCAATATAAAAACAACAATAAAACAACACAATAAAGACACACAGAAAGATTTAAACAAAAACTCTAAAAATTACACACAAACACAGATGTTTTTTAAAACAACCCTGTTTTCCCAATAGACTTGAATTAAAAATTTGTAAAAAAACAGCTAAATTTTATATAAACCTAAATATAGAAACCAATTTAAGATATAGCAAGAAACAT